ACCGGGAGCAGCTGGCGAACCTGAACCCCATCGCGCAGCCGCTCGCGCCGCGCAAGCTCACGCGCAAGCTGTACAAGTGCATCAAGAAAGGTGGGGCCGGGGCCGGGGCCGGGGCGCGCGTGGGGAGCGGGGCCCGCGCGGAACCGGCGCTGACGTCTCGCGCGTCTCGTTTCTCGTGTAGCAGCGAAGCACAAGCAGATCCGGCGCGGGGTGAAGGAAGTGCAGAAATTCATCAACAAGGGCGAGAAGGGGTAAGCACCCGAGCAGCGGCCACGGGGCGAGTGGCAGCCTGCACTTGGGATGGCTCCCTGTGCCATCTCCGTGTGGGGGGAGCTGCGGCACACTTCCGGGCACAAGGTGCTGATCCTTGCGTCTGGGACTGGAACAGAAGCTGGCGCCACTGAGTACAAGAAAGAACAATTGCTTTTGTTTGACCCGGTCGGTTGATCACAGGAGTCCTAACGGGCTACTAATTATGCACCCCTGGCTACTTGTAGCAATGTTGAGGTTTTTGCCTGGTGCATGCTGCATTGTAACATAACAACAGCTTGACGCTTATAATGAAAAGAGATATTTTACAAAGACCGGGTGTGAAAGCTGAGTAACAACTGTGTGCAGATAGATGCTTCACCTACAGCTGCTTACTACAGAAACTCAGTGCTCACTTCTGTGGGTACTGCCCTGCTGATGGAGTAACACAGTTGGTCAGAGGTTTCTGGTTTGCACACTTGGGTGGTTGTTGCTAAGATCAGGGAACGGAGCAGCTGATTGCTTGCATCTTGTGGAGCTGCCGGTGCTGTGTGAGCATCATCGAGTGCTGTAAAGGGAGCAGGGTGGGCATAGGTCAGGGCCTCTTTAAGCTGAGCCATGTCATTATGACTTGGGCAGAAGACATGGCAGACTCTTGAAGACTGTCGTTCAAAGACTTGCACTTCAGAGAATTAGTTGGTCTGAGGCGTAAATCTGCCTTCTGCCTGACTTCGGACTAACATGGGCAGCTACCTCTCTGTGACGACAGCTTTCCAACCCTACTAAATATAAATGGTCACTCCCAAAGGGAGTGGGCAGTGACCTTCTCTGCGCTGGGGTTTATCAGCAGTGAGGATGGATCAAGCAAAAAGTTGGAATAGAGGAACCGAAGTATGTAAGCACTGCCGTTTGCTTGGTCTGGTAGCTACTTTGCTTGTTGTCCACTTCCCCTCTAAATTATTCCCATCCCTTTGGTTTACTACTTCTGTGACATTGCTTTACCCAGTACTTGGCTTAGACTGAAGCTACTTCATTCCCAGACCGAAGAAGGACATTTTGTGCATGGAAGCTTGTCTGGTCTCCATCCAGAGAGTTAGTTGATCCAGTAAAAGATACTGCCAAACAAATCCTGCCTCTTTCATGTTCTCTCAGCATACAGTAGACGAGACGATCACTGTCCAGCTCATGTGCGTGGGGACCTGGGACTAGAATCTTTCCTGGGTGCTGTGTGCACAGGACTCCCGTACTGGTGCTGATTCTGTCCCATGGGACCTGCCCTCTAAAGCGTGTCCCTGACCCAAACCTGGCCTCACCCTGCTGGGGGACCAGCGGTGCCAGCCCCAAATGCTATCCGTCACCAGCCCTCTCGCCCCCACTCATCTGCCCTCCTCATGCTCTCGCTGCCTTCCTGGTCCCACAACTTTTCTCTGCTGTTTCAGGATTGTGGTCTTGGCTGGAGACACGCTGCCCATTGAGGTGTACTGCCACATCCCCGTCATGTGTGAAGACAGGAGCCTGCCATATGCTTACATCCCCTCCAAGACGGTAAGATGGGTGGGAGGGGTCTGAAAACAGAGAATAATCCCTCTGGAGTTGGGAGAGCACGGAGCAGTCTTGGGCCAGGCTGGCTCTCGGATTCTATCCCTTCCCCTTTCTGGTGGCAATAAACTTGCCCTGGGGCCTAGCCCAAGGTCCTTGCTGCTGCTGCTCTTTTGTGCAAGGCAGCAGGTTCACAGCTGAGACTTCCACATGGAGGAGACAACACTGCTGAGCTGGTTGAGCTCCTGCTGTCTGCCCGCGGCAACCGGCAATAGAGAGCTCCATGTATTTAAATGTCTACGAGGAATGAAATGGCTCCTTGCTTCTCCTAGCTCCAGGGCTCCCTGTCACAGGGAGTTATGGCTGCAGTTTAGTACACTGTGACTTGGTTTCTTCAGTGATGGGGGCTTCTGCAGTGGGTCCCCTGTATCGTCCTGCTTCAGGCTAGGAGCTGAGCTGGTCTCCAGCTGAGACGGATGCTTCCTGCCAAGGTGGCTGGAGCTGCTCTGCCCATGGAGACCTCTATTAAACTGCTGTGCACTGGAGAAGGGAGCAGCTATGGGGTCTGTTAGAGGCTGGAGACAGGCTGAGATGAACTAACATGCTTGGGTGATCCCTAATTGTGTTGCAGCAGGTTCCCTGCAGAGCTGGCATGGTCATAGTGCAGCCAGCACCACACCAGCGTTGCCTGCTACTGGCCTCCTGCTCTTCCGTGTTGTGTAGTAGAGCTGCAGCTCTGCTGTGCCCAGAGCACAGGGCAGTGTCAGTGCTCCCTTACGGGTAGCATCTTGCTGCTGGGGGTGCCCCGGGGGGAGGAGGGTGGGCATTAGACCCCTGGTGGGGGGAGGACTCAGATTGGGAGTGGGGCGGAGGCATGGGCAGGGCTGCATGATGCTGCCCTGGTGGAGGGGAGGAAGCCCCTGCACAGGCCCCAGGAGCAGGGGGGCTGCCTGCCCCGTACCAGCCTAACAGCATCTCCTCACCTTCAGGATCTAGGAACAGCTGCAGGCTCCAAGCGTCCGACCTGCGTGATCATGATCAAGCCCAACGAGGAGTACGAGGAGGCTTATGGGGAGTGTCTGGAGGAGGTGACGGCCCTTCCTGTGCCGTTGTGACAGGGGCCACCCGCTGCCCGGAGACTCAAGCTGCTGCCTGCCTTTAGCTCAGCAACTGTCCCATAAAACCGCCCACTTTGGGCATTTTAAAAGGAAGTTGTCAGCCTGCCCTGCAGCGCCAGCTGGGCGATGGGACTTCTTAATACCGATCAATTCTTCGGAAACCAGCACATTGCAGTGATGGGGCCAGGCCCTGCACGCAGGGGTGTGCTGTGCTGGGCACTGCTGCTTCTCAATAAATGAATTTTGTATGGTTTTAAACTGCTGCTCGCTGTGGTCTGGGGCAGGGCCCTGGCTCTGCCCATACCCCGCCCCCCCAGACACATGCACAGCAGGGGTGGGCTA